TCAGCATTCTCGCTGGCGATTCTAATCTAAATCCAGATTCAAAAGCGATGCATTCTTGACGAACCTCCAATTTGATTATGTGTTGCACCTCTTCATTCCGTCATCATGCTACTGGTGCCAAATATGGAATTTAGTCTAAAAATGTATTGATTCCAGACAGCTTTACTCATTTGCCTTCATTCGCTCGTTCTCGCCTTTTCACTTTGTTTTTGTTTTGTAAACATTGCGGTGCACCATCTAAACTTCTCTATTTAAATTAATTTATATACGTAAATATCGCATTGTTTGCAATGTCTTTCTTACTTTGGGAGAACTAGTTGGTGACGTTCACTCAACTATTGTGTTGGAAGCCGTTTAGCTTCACACGATTATAAAGTTAGTTAATCTTGTTCACTTGCAAACAAGACCTTACACCGATTATTCACTGCACGTGCAATCTTGCAACAGATCGCGTTCCTCTCGCGTTCGCTGCGGGTGTGCCAATATCATTCCAGAGTGCTTCGAAGAAGGGCCATTGCCTAAAACGTCGCATATTATACATGTCAAGGAAGTGTTATTGACGACGGTGGAGGGTTTTCTTCGTCGCAGAGGTTAAAGGTGGAAGGTTTAAGGCGGAGCCATCGCGGAGGGCAGGGGTGGTCGGTGACGTCGCCACGCTTCGGGTATAAAGGCGGCTGCTGCTGCTGCAAGCTGAGCGCGCAGTCTCTCGCGAGGAGCTTTGTCACAAGTAGTCGCAATGTCTGGACGCGGTAAAGGCGGTAAGGGGCTCGGCAAGGGAGGCGCAAAACGCCATCGCAAGGTGCTGCGCGACAACATCCAGGGCATCACCAAGCCCGCCATCCGCCGCCTCGCTCGCCGCGGCGGTGTGAAGCGCATCTCGGGCCTCATCTACGAGGAGACCCGCGGCGTCCTGAAGGTCTTCCTTGAGAACGTCATCCGCGACGCCGTCACCTACACGGAGCACGCCAAGCGCAAGACCGTCACCGCCATGGACGTGGTCTACGCCCTCAAGCGCCAGGGCCGCACTCTCTACGGCTTCGGAGGCTGAGCGCCCATCTCTCGCACACTAAGCCAACCCAAAGGCTCTTTTCAGAGCCACCCACCTCTTCGAAACTGCTTGCGCCAGTGTTGCCAAACACGCTCTGAATGGAGCACATGTCCTGGGTTGTTGTGAGCGTGCTGGACGTTCGCTTGTTGAGTTGGCGAATCTTCATCTGCTTCCACATGAATGAAAGAAATCATGATATTCACGACACGTCACATTTAACAAGGCGTAATTCTTGAACGCCTTAATACAGTACCCATTTCTGGTATTTTTGCGTGAATTATTTCCAGCTGCAGCCGATTCCGATATTACGTAGAGCATTTGGCGCCACAATCTTACAGCACACTCGTCCTAATTGACGGAGCGTGCCGGAATGCTAATCTCCACCTGTACAGCACAACAGCGAAGTTATTTTTCTCCACCGAGCGCTTGTATTTTTCCAAATTGCGTTCATAAAACGCCCGTGCGCCGTATTAGACGAGTGGTGAAACAATCCCTCGTAAGAAACAAAAAAACCCACGCTCAAAACACAATATACTGTATTGGGTTTTCTAGTCATCCTTTTTAAAGCAAAGGCAATGTCATGTCTGCAATTCACTAATACACATGTTTGGACATTACATTGTGTTATATTCACAAGTCCTTTTTGCAGTAAAATCGATATTAAAGTGAACATCGCGTCCGCGTTTCTCATTGGAGGCTGATGGAGAGGGACGGTACTAAAAGAGCCACTCAGCAGCGCCGCGCACTACGATCCTCTGATTTGCATCTCGCCTCCTATAAAAGGAGCTCAACGCGCGAGCGACATCCACATTCGCTTCCCGTCTGTTCTGACCTGAAGCTGCTGCCTACGACGCGTCGACATGCCCGATCCTCCCGCATCAAAGAGCGCTGGGCCGGCCAAGGTTCCTGCTCCCAAGAAGGGCTCCAAGAAGGCTGTGACCAAGGCTACGCGCAAGGATGGCAAGAAGCGACGCCACCGCAGGAAGGAGAGCTACGCCATTTACATCTACAAGGTGATGAAGCAGGTGCACCCCGATACCGGCATCTCGTCCAAGGCAATGAGCATCATGAACTCGTTCGTCAACGACATCTTCGAGCGCATCGCTTCCGAGGCGTCCCGCCTGGCGCACTACAACAAGCGCTCCACCATCACTTCTCGGGAGATCCAGACCGCAGTGCGACTGCTGCTCCCCGGCGAGCTGGCCAAGCACGCCGTGTCGGAGGGCACCAAGGCCGTCACCAAGTACACAAGCTCCAAGTGAAGCCTCGACTCCACCATTAATTACAAAGGCTCTTTTCAGAGCCACCCACCTCTCCGAACCTGCTTGTACCAGTCCTAGCAGGAGTACTAAACGAAACTTCCAACAAAGCCCCGGTTCACGCGGGGACATTGTTCGCTCATTGAGTGAAATGGAGAGATGGAACGCATTTTGACCTGTTTCCACGTGAATAAAAGCGATAACAATATTCATGGCACATTCACCAGCAGGCATTTCTTGGACTTGTTTGTCCGTTGATTTCATCTGCAGCCCATTCAGATATTACATTGGATATTTGGTGCCAAAACCTTGCAATGCAATATATTTAATTCGTGGTTGTATTTCGGGCAGGAACTAACATTTTGCAATTGATGATCATCATCTCAATGCCAAGAGAATAGATATCTATCCCTGTGATCACCTCTTTCCGACAATTTTACGTATTAACTTTGGAGCTTTCGTGACTGCAGGAATTATTCTTTGGTTCTTTCGGTAAAGTCACGTATATATAAAAAAAAACAAATTGGTGATATCTGTCTGCTTATATGTCTGTCTATAATTTTTTCTGGTTCGATTTTATGTCGCTATTTCATTATACCTGATGATGATTGCTTGTGTTGCAATCGAAACGTCGTATGCTATTATTTAATTTATTCTTTATACGTGACTTTACCGAAAGAACCAAAGAATAATTTTTACGTATTACTGTTTCCAATGAAGTCCAGTTTCTTCACACTTTATTTAGATCACGCGGAGCACTGTAAAGTTGTCTTCGGAAAGGTGTTTGCTTGAGAAAATAACATCCGTTAAAGACACGGACGGCGCTCAAGCGGTACTACTGCATCGTGATGCGGCATTCTGCAATGCTCCAAAGTGAGAACATTTCGTTGATGAAGAAGAGTTGACGACTCGAGATCATTGCACGCTGCCAACCAATCAGCACGCGCCCCTTCTTCGCACGTCACGACTCCGCTGACCAGTGAGCGCGCGCTCTGGGCTACATAAGCCGCCTTCTCCTCCCCGCCTGTGAGAATCTTTGCCCTCACCAAGCCATGGCTCGCACCAAGCAGACGGCTCGCAAGTCCACGGGCGGCAAGGCCCCCCGCAAGCAACTCGCCACCAAGGCGGCCCGAAAGAGCGCTCCGGCCACGGGCGGCGTCAAGAAGCCTCACCGCTACAGGCCCGGCACCGTCGCTCTGCGCGAGATCCGCCGCTACCAGAAGTCCACCGAGCTGCTCATCCGCAAACTGCCCTTCCAGCGCCTCGTCAGGGAGATCGCGCAGGACTTCAAGACCGACCTGCGCTTCCAGAGCTCCGCTGTCATGGCTCTGCAGGAGGCCAGCGAAGCGTACCTTGTCGCGCTCTTCGAGGACACCAACCTGTGCGCCATCCACGCCAAGCGCGTCACCATCATGCCCAAGGACATTCAGCTCGCCCGCCGCATTCGTGGCGAGCGCGCTTGAACGCCCAGCTCGGCCCTCAAAGCACAACACAAAGGCTCTTTTCAGAGCCACCACTTACTCGTGAGAAAGCTTCCATGTGTGTCCTTCAAAGTTCGGGTGCCGGAAACCATCGTTTGTTGGTCACGGCTCTCACGAGTCGTCAGGCGTAAGCGACAATGAAGTTCATTTTCTATACCCCGCCGCTCATTCTGCAACATCACACGTTGGTGTTGTGTATAAGCGTTGTGAAACCATGTTTACATAATGTACAACAAAAGAGTTATTTTGGTGAAATGTATTTTACCTCAGAGTCGCGTGGTGGGTGTGGAGGCCTCGCACCGTGCAGAGCCTCCCGCCTCGCCTGATTTTGCCACCCGGCTGACGCTGGGTACGGGTGCCGTTTCCCCCCCCCCCCCCACCGCGCTACAATAATACTGTGTAATCGCTATAATTTAATAATCTACCGACCCTATAATAGTAATAGCACACATTGTGGTGGGGGGGGGAGTAAAGAGGACGTGAAACTTAGATGAATTTACCTCAGAGTCGCGTGTTAATGCGTGCGCCTATTTTTAACGGGAATTAAAGATGGCGTCCACCCCGCAACTGCTAGCCCGTCGCTAGCCGTTGCCAGGGGCAACCGGCGTCCAATGAAAGCGGCGAAGTCGTCGCTAGGCGTTGGCAGGGGCAACCGGCGTCCAATGAAAGTGCGTATGGTCCGACATCCACACACAGACAGACAGACATTCACGATTTTATATATATAGATTAAACCCAAAGATATTGGTTTATGCTGTTTCAAGCCCGAGCTGATAAGAAGTTCACATTTTGCAAACTGAGACTGAATTATTCACGCACATATATTTTTAGGCATTGCCCGAACAGGCGGTTAAAAAAAGATATCTATACACCGTATAGGCACGTGGGCGATCAATCACGAGCTCAAGGCTATCACAATGATTTCTTATAACCAATGCGGTCCCTCAAAATGATGATTATAATCAATAATACATTGATATTTGCGGAATCCGCTTATAAGTTTGACTTGCCAGCACGCGCCCATAAATTAACTCTATCATGCTTAAAACTTGAACCTATTAGGTACGTGTATCGCATTGTTTAATTCGTAAGATGCGTGTGCGCATTAAAACATATATGGATACGAATAATGAAAGTCAACATCGAATCCTCGCGTCCCGGCTTTTCATTGGTGGCTCAAGGAGAGGGCGGACTCGAGCGAGAGGAGCCAATCAGCAGCGGCGCGCTCTACGATCCTCGTCTCCGCTATAAAAGCCGCTCCCGTGGTGCGTGTTAACGTCACAAATCGTTCGTACTTTGTCTCCAGTGCTTTTTGCATCCTAGGTCCCTTAACGATGTCTGGACGCGGCAAGACCGGTGGCAAATCTCGCGCCAAGGCAAAGTCCCGCTCTTCCCGCGCCGGCCTGCAGTTCCCCGTGGGTCGCGTTCACAGGCTGCTCCGCAAGGGCAATTACGCCCAGCGGGTCGGCGCTGGAGCACCTGTCTACCTGGCCGCCGTGCTCGAGTACCTTTCTGCCGAGATCCTCGAGCTGGCTGGCAATGCCGCCCGCGACAACAAGAAGACGAGGATCATCCCCCGACACCTGCAGCTCGCCGTGCGAAACGACGAGGAGCTCAACAAGCTCATGGGCGGCGTGACTATCGCCCAGGGCGGTGTGCTGCCCAACATCCAGGCCGTGCTGCTGCCCAAGAAGACCTCTCAGGCAAAGAAGTGAACGCGCCGCCGCCTCTACCACCACAACAACGGCTCTTTTCAGAGCCACCCACTTGCTTGCAAAGAGCTCGGACAGTCGTGCACAGGGGTTTTGTTATTAATAAGGACACCTCGATTTAAAGCTTTCGTGACTGCAGGGATTCATCTTCTTGGTTCTTTCGGTAAAGTCACGTACAAGGGAAGTAACAAAATAATAAAAATAAAACAATAAAATAATATATTATTTTATTATGTTTTATTTTTATTATAAAATAATATATTATTTTATTGTTTTATTTTTATTATTTTATTACTTCCCTTCTACGTGACTTTACCGAAAGAACCAAGAAGAAAAAAATAAGGACACCGTCGTCGAGTTACCCTCGTCCCAAATTGCTCGCAATTAAACGAATGCTCTGCTCATTCCAGATACCCTTTATGTCTAATTTAGGAACGGTATTTGAGCAGCATTCCAACATTGCATCAATCATGGAACATGGTTTAGAATAAATTGGGATGCCTATTTGAAAAAAGTATCGTGTTTTTTAAGGAATAAAACTCGCTCTTTTTGAGCGGTCAGATTACATATGAAGAGGAGTCGGAGAATGGTTCAAGCACTTTAAGGGATCTGCGAGCCACCCTCACGCACCACGCAAACACGACATCTCCGCTCTCACGACAACACGCACCAATCGCACGCGCGGGGAAGAGCTGGACGGGGGGGTCAGGGGTTAAAGGGCAGACACCGCTGGTTTCAAGTTCATTTCAAGTTCATTTATTAGGTATAGCCCTGTGAGCCATTCAGCTCTTGAATCGGGTGCAACCGCAACAAACAAAAAACAAAAAACATGAACAAAAAACATCTTAAAGTGAATATGTGACTAAGTGCAAACAGAAAATCCAAGAAAAGACAGCAAAAATATTGCAGAAAAAACACCGTACACCAACGCTGTGTGCAAAAATCCCAGTGGGATGCAAGTCAAACAACAACAACAACCACAAGACAACTTAGATTAAGGCCATCAGTCTAACTCTGTACTACAACAACACAAACATGGCTAAACCAATACACTTTTCGAAATCACCAAAATAAAGCCATGAAAGCAATGAAAAAGCAATCATAGGAACTGTGACGGAATTTTCACAATAAATGGCATAAACAACATGTACTACCAAAACCCTGCAGCCATAGCTGGCTGCATGAGTCACTCCACAGCAGGTCGCAAGAGACTGCGCGTGGCGCTTTGTGTTGCCGTTGCCATGAATCGTCGAAGCGCGTTCACGATCTGTTGTTCTCCTGTAACGCGGTGGTCATTTCGATTTAAAGCTTTCGTGACTGCAGGGATTCATCTGCTTGGTTCTTTCGGTAAAGTCACGTAAGATGGAAATAATAAAAAAATAATAATAAAACAAAAAAGTAATTGTAAAATTTTATTATTAAAATAAAAATGCTATTTAATAATAAACTAATGAAAATAAAAATAATAAGTAAAAGGTTTCTTTGTATTATTTTATTATTTAATAATGACGTCAACACCCCCCTCCCCACTGACTCGCGAGCCCACAGAGCAATGACGTCCACACCCCCCTCCCCACTGACTCGCGAGCCCACAGAGCGATGACGTCAACACCCCCCTCCCCACTGACTCGCGCGCCCACAGAGCAAGAATTGCAACAGGCGATGTCATTGGCTGCGCCGGATGCGACGGCCATCTTGTTTAGTTCATTTAGTTCACGGATCGCAGGGGGAGCGGGCGGCCATCTTGTCAGACAGAGGGACGGCCTCGCGAAGCCTGTCGCAGTAGGCCTCGCGAAGCCTCCTGCAGTAGGCCTCGCGAAGCTTTCTGCACTAGGCCTCGCGAAGCCTTCTCTGCAGTAGGCCTCGCGAAGCCTTCTCTGCAGTAGGCCTTGCGATGCCTTCCCTGCAGTAGGCCTCGCGATGCCTTCCCTGCAGTAGGCCTGGCGAAGCCTCCTGCACTAGGCCTCGCGAAGCCTCCTGCAGTAGGCCTCGCGAAGCCTCCTGCACTAGGCCTCGCGAAGCCTTCTCTGCAATAGGCCTCGCGAAGCCTCCTGCAGTAGGCCTCGCGAAGCCTTCTGCACTAGGCCTCGCGAAGCCTTCTCAGCAGTAGGCCTCGCGCCGTGCTTTTCGTGCACAAATAAGGCGATTAAATGTATCTTGTCTCTGTGTTAATAAATGTATCTTGTCTCTGTGTTAATAAAACGTGCTGCGTTTCAGTAAAGTAAATTTGAAGCGAAGTTTATTATTACACTTGTTAAGCCAGGAAAGCCCCACTGAGTCAAAAGGTTTTTGTAGGGTCCTGCCAAGTGTTTGCAGTAGGGGGCGATGTTGCTACCAGGATAGCGTAACTGAGTCTAAAGGTTTTTGTAGGGTCATGCCAAGTGTTTGCAGTAGGGGGGCGATGTTGATACACGGACGGACGGACGGACAGTCAGACGGACGGACGGACGGACAGACACATTAATCTATTGGTGGTCTGGTCCACTTCGTTCCTACCAGTATAAAACCCCCACCCACTCCCCCCACCCCATCACCCCATCACTCCCCCCCACCCCATCACTCCCCCCACACCCCCCACCCCATCACTCCCCCCCACCCCATCACCCCCCACCCCATCACCCCCCCCAACCCCCACTCCCCCCACCCCATCACCCCCCTTCACTCCCCGCCACTTCCCCCCACCCCCACTCCCCCCACCCCATCACTCACCCCCACCCCCCCCACCCCTCCCACCCCCTACTCCCCCCACCCCTCCCACCCTCAATTCCCCCCTCCCACCACTCACCAACCGCCATTCCGCCCCCACTCACCCCCACCCCCTCGTCCCCCTCTTCCCCACCCCCCCACACCCCCAACCGCCATTCCGCCCCCCCCCCACCCCCCACTCCCCCCCACTCCCCCCCCACCCCCCACTCCCCCCCACTCCCCCCCCACCCCCACTCCCCCCCCCACCACCAACCGCCGCCATTGGCCACTGAGTGACGGTGACGTCACCACGGCGCCTGTGCCAGGCTGGGTGCACTTCGAGGCTGCCGCGTGAAGTGTCGACGGCTCGACACTGAGGTGGTGACGTCACGCGAGCGTTGTGTTTAACGATTTAACGATATTAGCGTAAAGATATGAATGAGCATTAGCTCAAGTGATGTGAATACGTTCGGATTACCTCAAGTAATGTTACATTTACCTGAGGTAATTTTACCTCGCATAAGGTAAAGTTACCTCATTTGAGATGTTACCTTACCTGACGTAATTTTACCTTTGCCTGAGGTAATGTTACCTCGACCTAACGTTATATTACATCGCTTGAGGTAAAGTTACCTCACGTGAGGTAAAGTTACCTCGCCTTCCATTGAATTCCGATTATGTAACCCTGAGGTAATAATCACGCGATAATTGTGTTTAATGATTTAACTACGTGAGAATATTACGATATGGGCATTAGCTCAAGTGATGTGAATACGTTCGGATTACCTCAAGTAATGTTACATTTACCTGAGGTAATGTTACCTCTATGTGAGGTAAAGTTACCTCACTTAAGGTCAAGTTACCTCGCCTGAGGTAAAGTTAACTAACCTGGGGTAATGTTGCCTCTACCTGAGGTGAAGTTTCCTCACCTGAAGTAATTTTACTTCGCCTAAGATAAAGTTACCTCAGCTGAGGTAAAGTTACCTCATTTGAGATAATGTTACCTTACCTGACGTAAAGTTACCTCGGCCTGACGTTATATTACTTCGTCTGAAGTAAAGTAACATCACCTGAGGTAAAGTTACCTCGGCCTAACGTTATATTACTTCGTCTGAAGTAAAGTTACATCGCCTGAGGTAATGTTACCTCGCATGAGGTAAAGTTACCTCATTTGAGGTAAAGTTACCTCACCTGAGGTAATGTTATCTCGACCTGAGGTTACTAAGGGCACCACGGGGTGACCAGCTCCTCCCCACCCCCCACCCAGCCCCCTCCACTCAGCCCCACCCAGCCCCTCCCCACCCCCCACCCAGCCCCTCCCTCCCCACCCCCCACCCAGCCCCCCCCACTCAGCCCCACCCAGCCCCTCCCCACCCCCCACCCAGCCCCTCCCTCCCCACCCCCCACCCAGCCCCTCCCTCCCCACCCATCCCCACCCCCCACCCAGCCCCACCCTCCCTACCCAGCCCCTCCCTCCCCACCCAGCCCCACCCTCCCCACCCAGCCCCTCCCTCCCCACCCCTCCCCCCACCCAGCCCCACCCTCCCCACCCAGCCCCTCCCTCCCCACCCAGCCCCACCCCACCCAGCCCCACCCTCCCCACCCAGCCCCACCCTCCCCACCCAGCCCCTCCCCTCCCCAACCATCCCCACCCTCCCCACCCAGCCCCTCCCTCCCCACCCAGCCCCTCCCTACACGACGGACGGACGGACACATTAATCCCCTGTGGGCTGGTGTAACCAGGAGGTTCCTACCAGTAGTCAAGTGAGGATTCTATCTCACGCGAATTTTAAATCGTGTAAGATTTACGCTACGAGACGACTTCACGTTACGATTACAGCTACACATCTCGTACAGTGTTGACACGAGCGACTAATTAATTGTACAAGATTTACTTTGCACTGAATGAGAATGTCGCGGTGAAGATTACCTTATAATATAACGTGATTTGATACGGATTGCATCACATTCTGATTACCTTACCCTCAGTGCCGGATAAAGTTAGTTCGGGGCCTGTAGCATGTGCTAGAAAGGGGCCCAATAATTTTTTTTAAAACGTAAACATTAAAACACATTTTTTACTTGCACAGTAAAGTATTTGTATTTTTTCATTTGCTATACAGCCGGATAATACGACTAATCGCTAACCTTAAACACCCAGTCGTTCATAAAAAAAAAAGTTGAAGTCTGTACAGTACTATAGTAATAGAGCAAGTGCAGAATCAATTAACCCGAATTGATATCTTGAAAGCATTTAGCGCGGGGCCCTTGAAAGTGCGGGGCCCGTAGCATTTGTAGCAACTTTTGCGACTCCGATAATTATAAACCCCCCCCACTCCCCCCACCCCATCACCCCCCACTCCCCCCCACCCCATCACTCCCCCCCACCCCCCACTCCCCCCCACCCCCCACTCCCCCCACCCCATCACCCCCCCCCCCACTCCCCTCCCACCACCGCCAATCGCCGCCATTGGCCACTCAG